TGATGGATTAGGGATTTTTCCTAATCCAATATTATTTGAACAGTACAAGAAAGCCCAATTTTATCTGGCCCAAGATATAAATCAGATAAATTATTCAAGACAGAACCAGAGATATATGGACAGAAGAATATATTTGAAGTGATGTGGAGACATTTGGCGGGACCCGTGGAACACTATCACATGGAAACCACATGCCGCACATGGGCTTCACATGGACAATGTCCCCTCTTGTCTCCATCAATTATTTCCTTCTCCCCTTTAAATGCAGGCTACGAAGGAGGGAGGAGGGAGGCCAACTTCCTACAAGTTTCAATACTATTCTGAATTCTTCTTCTTCTTTTAGCTTGGAGCTCCATTAATGGCTCCAAGCTCCTACAGTGATGTATATGTAAATTCCCCCGAGATTAATAAAAGTTCCTCCCCTTTGGCATGGCACCGTCTAAAAAGGCCCGTGGTTTTCTCCCGATTTGGGTTTCCACGTATAAATACTTTCTCTCCACTTTATTTATATATTTAATTTCCGGATTTCGCTATTCGGTGCGGTGCCGACCCGGTACCGATTTCATCGGGTCGACGCCCCGAAAAAGCGGTTTCCATCAGTTAATTTATTGAATTCTTAGTATTTTAAATACACTTTATAGTATATTACTTTGCTTGACTTTTGATGTTGAAAACATGGTCTGTGTATATATACATATATTCGAATATTTGAATATCATCCGAATCGAATATATCCCTATTTGTATTTGTATTTGATTAATATTCAAATCAAAAATAATATTTGAATTTGAATTTGTATTTGAATAACGCGAATTCGAATCATCTTATTCGAATACGAATCGCGAATCGAATTAAAAATATTTGATTTGTTTACATCCCTAGTTACCTCTCCTAAGAAGTAATGACTATTTGGGAAAGTCATTTCTATTTTTTTTCTTCCTTAAATATGCCCCAAAGTCAAAACGGACGATTTAAAACGGAACGGAGGGAGTAGCATCTAAGGTCTACAAAAATTTTATGGATCTTCTCTCATAAAATTTAGTTTTTTATTTTTTTAAAAAAATAAAAGTAAAAATACTTATCTCAACATTAAGCAAATGATTATTTGTTTTATCTGTAGGTACACCACGAACCCATGGTAGAAATTGCCTTAGGGAGTACTTTTATGGTGCACCTTGGGTGCATACCATTTTTGTTGACCTTCTTACATAATTTTTTTAATTTATTATAAAAAATAAATACCTATTTAAATAGTAAGAAAATATTTATTTTGTTCGTAACCGTAAGTCCACCCTAGAACTTGGGTTAAGTACTTTTTTTTAGGTCCACCATGTATGCTTTTTAAGCATAAAATAAAGGTTTTCGGATGCTTTACAGCTGGCGCGCAAGAGAGGAAACGAGAATGAAGGACTTCTCCACTTTGTAGCTCAGAAAGTGACTCTCCCAAAATATACCATTCCCCTTCAGCTTCGTTCCGTTCCGTTCCCGGTAAATTCTGCCATTCTATTCCCTACCTATAGTTAAATTTCTGTACAGCTTGTCTCATAGTGGAAGATTTTAGTGGTGTTCTGCACAGTTATTAGGTGTTATTAGGTTTTTTTTTTTGAATGCTGTGGGAATCGGTTTATTTGGATTAGGAGGCTATGGCCGAAAGTATGGAAAACTTATTGAAATCAAAAGGGGGACTGACATTGAATATTTAGGTTAATGGTTGGTAGTATAAGATAGGAGAAATACTACTAAGTGTTTGCACTTTGAATTGCTTTCTGAATTTCATCTCAAGGAATGTGAAAGTGATTATATGAGGGGGGTATGGAGCTTAAAGAATCATTATTGGTAATGTTTTTGCTTCAGGCATACTCTACTTCGTATTATCAATTGAATCGAAACGGTACATTACTTCGATTCTTACTTTCTATGAAGTTTTAGCTGTAAATTTAGCCTTGCATCTAGGGTCTAACCAAAAGAATCTTTTTTGTTTTTCCTTTACTGGGTTTAGAAATTACAAGCATAAGATTTTGGTTTGCCGAAGCCAATACCCTGACGGAGTTATATTGGATTTTGTTGTTGTTGCTGTCGTTGTTGTCCTAAAGTAGGAAACGGACCCTGTAATGAAGTCCTCACTGACCACATGCTATCGTTCAGTTTTTCATTTCCTAAACTCCCCGATTAAAAAACTAAAATTCAGAAGGATTAATTCTAGTCTGGGTACATTTTGGGCAATTGCTAGTTTCTTGGTTTTCGAGAGTTATTAATCATGTGCGAGTGATAGCATTGTTTAGACTTTAGAGCTTCTGTCATTCTGGGTTCTCTTCACGCTCTTTGAACGCTATGTTTAAATTCTGTAAAGTTCCTTGACGTAACCATCATTTTTGAGTTATTTTACGTAATGACCTTTTTATTATTCATGTGCTTAGAAAACCTTATAGAAGGTCTAAATACATTTGGAAATATTGAGCTATCCAGTAACGAGTATTATCTTAAAAAGCATGGTTATGAGAGGGTCATTTTGAGAAATAACATTAACCTAAATGCTACCTTTGGAAATTACCCTAAACATATTCAAATTGGCTGGCTAAATCTTAAAGAAAATGAAGGTTTTCCACTGTACTGACTAATCAAAAAGTCAACACGTTGAAGGTCTGCTTCTGATAGTTTATGGCATCATTGTCTAAATAAAAAAGATGGGAATTTTCCAATGTACCAACTACCCAAAAGAAGACAGGAGATGAAGGCCAACTTCTGATGGAATATGTTAATGTTCCTCCACCAGTTCTAAAGTGTTATATGGTTTGTCAACTTGTTTCATTCTGATGGATTTTGTTTCATTGATTCATTTGTCTTGTTAGCAATACAAAGAGCATTATTCTGACCAATATATAAGTTTTAAAATTTAGGAAGGCACAACTGTCATAAATCATGAACGATATCTATATTTTCTGAACTTGTATTTTTGTTTAGCTTTATATCACAACATGTAACATGTTTGTGGCTCTTTTCGGCAAATCGCATGAAAAACTAGTGTCTTTCTTGATCAAGATTCCTTTTATAGAAAATGTTGTTGAAAAAAAAAACTTTTTTTGTATTTTAGGGATAGAGCAAGTAGCTGATAGTTTACAAGGAGCCAACTGTTGAGAGGACTTGGGATGGCGGGCGACGAGAGGAATCTCATTGAGATTTTAGAAGAAAACCACCCTATAGACTTCAACAAATATATCACGTACGTTCAGTCACCAGAATGTGGAGCGATAGCCACATTTGCTGGCACAACTCGCAACATGTTTGAGGGCAAAGAAGTCATTGAACTAAGGTACGAGGCATACACTCCGATGGCCATACGTTGCATTCAATCCTCATGCGCGTCTGCTAGGTCGACTTGGAATCTCCACTCGATTGCCCTGGCCCACAGACTGGGACCCGTGGCTGTTGGGGAGACGAGTGTGTTTGTGGCAACATCGGCTGTTCATAGGGACGATGCTTTGGATGCTTGTAAGTTTCTGATTGATGAGATCAAAGCCTCAGTTCCCATCTGGAAAAAAGAAGTGTATACTAATGGAGAGGTTTGGAAAGAAAACAGAGAGTTTCACGAGAGAAATGCTGAGAAATTGACACGAAAGGGGCACTGTTGTGGGGCAAAGGTGAGAATTGATTGATGATCTGTAATTTCCTTTCTTTTTATTGCCGGCATGTGAAATAAAAAAGAATACAACTTTTAACACAGTTCAAATAAATTGAAGACTAAAAAAAGGGAATACCATTTGTATACACTTCCTTTTGTATTGGAGAAAGTTTTACATTTTCCTTTAAATTTATCCCAAAAATAAGTTTTCAGCTTGTGAGTTTCATATTATTTTCTGTCTTCTAAGAGCACTGGAAATGGTCATGAAGTCCCGGGCGTCAAACCGAGGTTTCAATCCTTCACTCTTTTTTACATCAGTTTTTATCCCCCTTTAACTTGCATTGCAGTTTCACTGGAAAGGAGTTTGAAACCTCGGGGTTTCAAATTGAGGCTTTAAACCTTTATTTTTAAAAATTTTTATTACACATTTTGTAAAATTAAGTTAATAAGATTTCGTAAATAATTGAATTTAAATGACAATAATTCATTAACTACAAAAAAAATGCAGTCAATAAAAAAAGAACACTTCTTCCTCCGGTGTTCACTTTTGAATGGACCGTGTTGCCTCAGTCATCGGCTTTTTGATCCTCGGTTTGTAATATTATCAAGACACCATAATATTAATTGGAAAGATTAATTTAGGACAAAACAAACTTAGGAAAGTACATAATGTAATATTCCCTCCCGTCTCTAATTTGATTAGAATATTCCAACTCATTCTTGTCCCAAAAAGAATTACAAAGTTCCAATGTTAACATCATTTGGACCATTTTACCCTCCCTTCCATCTCCCTATGTAATGACATGTGCCTCTCTTCTCTCTAGTGTCTATTCTCTTTAAATATAATCTAGATCTATACTCTTCTCTTCTCACCTCTTCGTCTCACCTTTTCGTCTCTTCCCCGCTTCATCTTCTCCGATTTCAATTTCACTCTCTCTAAAATTATAACCTTTAGGGTTACGATGTCGTCTCCATGGAATCATGATCCATCTATGCCCACTTTTTATCTCTTGTCACAAGAATTGCGATCTAGATCTAGATTGCCTCCTATCTCTGAATCTAAACTTGAGGTGCGTGTTGAATCACCATCGTACACTTCTGAGAGTGACCCTACTTAGAAGTTTAGAAACAAATACGATTAGGTGGTTGTAAAAGATTCAGTTGAGGGTTTCATGAGCGAAGAAGGTGCATGAAGGGGAAGAGGTGAGCTCTAGGTATTACCCGGACAACATGACATGCACTGATTATCTTTTCATGGAAATCCCTCAAAAAAACCTCCCGGCCTTGATCCTTGTGGTTTGCCTTCTTTTGTTTCTTTCTTACTCATACATGAGAGTTATGTTTTTCGTTATGACTGATGATGAAAGAGGCGTTATGTTTCTATATTATGCACTATGATGATTAAAATTTATGTTAAATTGACCTTTAATCGTGTCTGGCATAGCTATAGACGTTTTGCTTGTTATGTGATAGCCCTTATGTGTTTCGCCCACAGTTTGACAGGGTACTTGAGATCTGTGATGTTTCGTGCTGAGATCTGTGATGGCCCTAAGGTTTAACATTACCCCTGATCTATATTTGTTTGCTGTATAAGATTGAACCTCACTTTGATGTATGTTTGCTTGACATATGATGCTTGTGGTTTATGAAGTAAAGCATTTTTTTTTCAAATCTATGATGACCCAATTATTGTGTGTGTTTGGTCCTTTTTTGACAAACGGGTCAAGGAACTAGGAGTCGGAACCAAACCGACAGGATCAGTCCGAGTTAGAGGCGAGTCCTCTTTTCAAATATTTATAACGGGACAGGTCGGTCCGATCCTTATAGATTTTAGGGTCGGTCCAGTTCTCCATTTTGAAATTGTCTAAGACCCGGACCGAACCGCTTTTTAATACTCCGTATTATTATTAGTAGTTACACCGGGAACAACGCCCTTACGAGTTACGCCCTTACCCTTCTTTGCAATTGTTTTAACTTTATTTAGACCTCTTTTTTGTGTTGGGTGACTTAAAATTGACAATGGGGATAGTATATTGTTGTGGACTAATGGTGAATGACCATGTATATATTATTAATTTATTATCACTTTATTTTTTTAATATTAGTATCATGATAGGTTCGGACCCGTTGACCTGTGGAATCGGCCTGTGTAAAACAAGTCGGGTTAGATCCGGTTTCAAATTTAAAATTTTGAAAACTCATTCCAACCCGGGCCGTTTTAATAAAAACAAATCGAGTATGGTTTATACAAATCTTGGCTCGGAGTGCCTGTGCCCACCCCTAAGCTAATGTATTTTCAAATTTAAATCAATCAATGTGGATTCAACATTTCAAATGCAAAACAGATCTTGAATAGACAAAGAGCCCTACCTTTTACTTTAATTAATTAATTAACAGTCCAATCCAATCAACCTAGAGAATCATCATCATCTTCATCCCCTTCCCTTTCCCCTCTAAACCCCTTCCGGTTTCATGTCATCCAATGCCTGCAATTCTCGCCCCTTCTCGTGGCTCGTCAAATCCTGTATCCCCACCGCCCACAACCACCGCCAACCCACCGCTCCCCATTCCTCTTCCGCCGCCCCTCTCCGCCGCCAAACCTCCATTTCTTCTCTTCCCGACGACCTCCTCTTGGAATGCCTCTCCAGGGTTGCACAGTGCTCTATCTCCTCCCTCCCGTTGGTTTGCCGCCGCTGGTCGGGCCTCCTCGATTCTCCCGCCTTCCACTCCCTCCGCCGCCGCCGCAATCTACTCCGCCTCAATCTTTTTGCCATTTCAATCTCCGACCATTCGCTCTTCGCAGCTAGTCTGTGTTTGGGATTTGAATCGGCGTGGAGGATCTCTTCTGTGCTTGCGGATGACGTTTTTAATCGAGGGCCGCCGTTTATGTCTCTCTTCTCCCATTCTCGTTCCGTCGCTATTGGTCGGAGAATTTACGTTATTGGCCGGACGGCGATGATTCGTTGCGACGCATGGACTGCGTCGGCGGTCTTGTTACCGGGGCCGGTGGCTACGAGGAAGAAGTTTGCCGCGGCTGTCGTAGCGGGGAAGATTTATGTCGCCGGCGGAAGTGGGCGGACGGCGGTGGTTGAGGAGTATGACCCTGATGCTGAATCGTGGCGCGCGGTGTCTACGGCGTCCAGGAGGCGGTATGGATGTGTGGGGGCGGCGGCGGACGGGGTATTCTATGTCATCGGAGGTCTGAAGATCGGGTCGTCGGGAAATGAGGGAGTGTCACGCGCCGCCGGACCGGATGCGGCGCTTGTTTACGCCGGCTCGATGGATTTGTATGACGTGGCAGCGGGACAGTGGCTGAAAAGCCGTACCGTCCCCGGCGGCGGATGCGTGGTGGCGGCCTGTGCCGAAGGCGGTTTCGTGTACATCCTCTCAAGCCATGCCGTGGAACTCTCGTTCTGGGAATTCAACGGTGCGCTTAAATCCAGCGGCTTCGCGGAGTGGCGCAGGTTAAAGTCGCCGCCGGTGCAGGTTAGACTCGACAGCGCCGTCAGATTCACCTGCGTCGGGGCGGGAGGAAGGGTCGTGCTGGTCCAACTAACAGGCCGCGCACAAGACATGGTACGGCGGAGCGGCCGAGGGGAGAGGGATTTCAGGGGAGGAACGATGATGGTGTACGATTGCGCCGCCGGGGAATGGAGTAGGGGGGCGGATTTGCCGGAGTTCATTGGAAGTGCCGCCTGTGTAACGGTTGAGTGCTAATGTGCGCATTTCTGGGGTGGTGTGTCATCCGCTCATTTTTCCTGGTTTGAGTCAAAGTCTTCGATTTTAGTGTCGGTACAAATGAGTCTTTCTTTCCATTGTGCTTTACTCCGTATCATTTTCTGCGTACCATTTTCACTGCAACATCACGGAAGTGATGCACAAAAAGATTTGTTTTAATCCGTGAGATTAAAAATTCAAGCTGTTTGGTGTGCTTCATAAGAAATCAATTACTCCTGTCGTACTTAAAATATTGTCCTAGTTTGACATTTTAGTTAAACTGTTTCACCTTTTGACCATGAATTATGAAAAAAAAATTATTTGTAATATAAATTTAGTAAAATTAGGTATATTTTAAAATATAATTTTGAAATTTAAAATTTTTATAATATTTAATTATTTTAAACTACATTCAATTCATTGTCAAATGGTGTCACAATTTAACCATAAAAGTCAAACTATGACAATCTTTTAGGCACGGAAAGAGTAAAATAAAAGTGAAAATGTATGAAATAAGTTGTATCAAAACATTGGTGCTCGGTACTATCGATTTTGTGATAAGAATTTCCAGATTTCATCATTTTCAAAAATATAATTCAGGGTACCTTAAAATATTTGAAAACTAACTCTTGATGTTGGAGTCCACCGATATGCGCTATTGTTCAGACCACGTAAGAAAGATTAGTCAGGTTGTTTGCGGAGAGGCGCACACAAGGGTTAAGATGATAACAAACGGGATACAAATATTCAAGGCATGTTTGGAACGAAGCCAGACATATGGAAGACATTATCGTGTTGTACCACGTAATATCCAGGAAGGTATTTGTCGTATAACTATAGGGGTAATACTAGAGACACAAATAACCAAGACATATTTTCAGTGTATCTAGCCAACCAATGGTGTGAATGTAGGAAATGAACTACGTTCTACATATCATGTGCGTGCGTATACGCAAAATGTCACCACAATTGAATGATGGTAGATGATTTCATTCCGTTGATCTTCTTGACTCAATCATACATAAATGTGTATTTCAGAAATCTAATGCCACTTTAATCAGAAATGAAATGGCTATATCCTAGATATGAATTAGTGCGAGCAACAAGAGGTCGTCATTCGCAGACCATAAGCACGTGTTTCACTAATAACATGGATATACGACCACAACGACGTAGTAACAAGTTTAAATTATTAGCTTTTTCTATTATTTTCTCTTAAATCATGTAATATATACTTCATATTTTCTAGTTTGTCGTTTGAACATATAATTTCATTTTTCTCCATTCTTTTTTGTCTCTTGTTCAATTTTTAGTTACAAACTGCTACTCTCATCCATCCAAAAAGATCTAGTTTAAATTTTTTAGTTTTATTTCTTTTATTTATGTCAATTTTTCAAATAAAATAAATCAAAGTGATTAAATATTGTGTTTCATTTTTTAGTATATAAAAATAATAATGTGTACCAAAAAACAATAGTTTTACTCTTTTGTACTTCAAATAAAATGTCAACTCGCTTCTTTACGCTAGTGATATTTAAGTGCAATGTCAGCCACTCAGGCAGAATGGAAGAAACAATTCTGTTTTGACATAAATCAGAGGTTGTGAGACATATAAGATTGAGATACACAAATTGAGATGACTTTTTAATTTTTTGCACGGCCATCGAATGCTCATTTCCTATATGTGATCAATGTTCAGACTCGTGTTAGGCTTTGTTTCGATTGCCTGATCTGATCTCATTTTTTGAAGTTCTGATCTGGTGTAATCTGATCAAATTGGATCTAATCTGATTTGATTAGATCTAATTTGATCCAATCTAGTCTGATATAATCAGGTCTGATCTGATCTAATTAGATCTGATATGATATAAATTTGATTTAAATTAAAATTATTATTATTAGTATAGTTATAATAATAGTAATAATAATAATAATATTAATAAGAATAGTAATAATAACAACTACAATAATAATACTAATAAGATTAGTTATAATAATTGAAATAATAAAAATAAGAATAGTTATAATAATAATAATTACAATAATAATTTTAATAATAATAGTAATAATAATAATAATAATAATAATAATAATAATAACTATAATAATGATAATAATAATAATAATCATAATAATAACTATAATAATGATAATAATAATAATAATAATAATAATAATAATAATAATCATAATCATAATAATACTATTAATACTACTAATAGTATTAATAGTAATATTAATAATAGTAATAATTATAATTACTATAGTCATAATAATTATAGTCATAATAATAATAGTAATAGTAATAATAATATTATTATTAATATGAATAGCAGTAGTAATAATAACAATGGTAATAATAATTATAATCATGATAATAATAGTAATAATAATAACAATAAAAATAACAATAATAATGCTAATAGTAATAATAACAATAGTAACTTAATAATATTATTAATATAAATAGTAATAAGAATAACAAGTAATAATAATTATAATCATAACAGTAATAGTAATAGTAATAATAATATTAATAATAATACTAATGGTAATAAGAATAATAATAATAATTTTGTTTAGATCTGATTTGATTGGACCAGGGTTGATCTAGTCTATTTCTGATTGGACCTAAACTGATTTGATCTCATGTAGTTGGGCCTGATATGAATTGTTTTTATAAAACTAAGTTATAAGTAGAGAAAATAAATTAAACAAAAGGAGAAAGATCAAAATAGGACTAAAACATTGAAAAATATCAAAATAGGAATTTCATGTTTTTATTCTCGAAATAGGACTTACATTACCAAACATGATCACATACATTACTAAAAAAAGTATAGTAATGTGCACATTTATAGTGTCACATTACCATAGTGCAAAGTCTTATTTCTAAAAAAAAAAAAATAAAAGTCATATTTTGATACTTTTCTCTGTGTTTTAGTTGTATTTAGAGTGATTTCTATCCAAAACACATTGATAGAAGTGATGTGTTGACTAGAACAGGTATGAATTGCGTGGACAATAATAGAGGGGGGAGGGATAGATATATATGGAGTACGTACCTGAGAAAAAGGAAGGAAGGAAGCAAGGACGAGAGGGGTAAAACTTATCCGGCTGTGTTTGTTTGACACAGACAAATATGGCTACGGTGGGAGGCATTTCCGAAGCCAATGGATCCCAAAACAGCCTTGAAGCCGAACAACTTGCTCGCCTCGCCCTCTCTCAACATAACGCCCGAACGGTCCTCTCTCTCCCTCTCCCTCTCTGATCAACTAAACTCTGCTTATGAATCAATCATTGAATCCGATTTGATCGATTCACATCGCTGGGTTTTAATCATTTCGATCCTCACCCGAACCGATCTGCTTTAGTTTCTTATAGATTTGAACTGCATGAAATCAAATTCTTACTTCCTGAATTACTTCTGTGTTTCTCAATTTCTCTGCATAAATCTCAAAATTCGTGTCAAAAAAAAACAAAACAAAATTGCAACTTTGATTTGGGACGGTGGGAGCATAATTTTTGCGCCCAATTTGGTCCCTGAACACACTGGTATTAACACCCGGTTCGGCGCCTAGTTTGCATACACGAATAGTCCACATCCGCAATGATCCGTTTCTTGTTAGGAACCATATAATCCCTTCGTTCTTAAATAACATGCCATTACGACTTTCTACATTCATTAAAAGAGAATGAATGTAGACACAATGTATGTCTACATTCATTCACTTTTTAATGTATGTAAAAAGTCATAATCGTCGGTTATTTTAAGAACGAAAGAAGTTCCTGGTGGTGATAGATGGGTATATGTCTAGTATATTCATGTGTATGCGGTTGCAGGACGGAATTTTCAATTGTTTTCCCATCTTTTCCCTTGCACTAATTATGGTTTATTTGATGGTATTGCCAGAATTCGAATTTGGAGTTTGGGAGAGTGGTGAAAGTGGGGAAGCAGGTGGTTGCCGGGACAATGCACCATATAACGCTGGAGGCAAACGACGGGGGTCATAAAAAGGTGTACGAAGCTAAGGTGTGGGAGAAGCCATGGGAGAACTTCACGGAATTGCAAGAGTTCAAACTCGTTACCGAAACTGCCCCTCTTTCTTCTTCTTAGCTCACTCAATAAGGCTAGTGTGCGCTCTTATCTGCACTAGTAGTACTTTTGGAAAATAAAGTCTCATGTTATGATGATCAAATATAAAACTAAACCACCTCCTAGGGAGAGTGTGGTTAATGAACCATGATCAATAATACTATAATGATTTCTGAGTGCCTTTCAAGTTTTTCCTCTTCATTGGTGTTTTTTTTGTTTTGTTTTATGCCTTTTTGGTGGAACCCCATTGTTTGGTTTCTTTGTTTATCAAATGCTCTCGTTAATATGATGCATAATAATGATAATGCATGCCACAAACTCACATGTGAGGCTCATATTGGTTTTATTCAACTTTTGCAACCTCATGATAATACCTAAGAGATAATTTAATGGGCAGGGAAAATAAATTTGGAACTCTCCAGAAAAGGAATGTGTGCACAAGGTGGATTTGGAAGGTTGAATGCGGTTGCTTTCGTGAATTATTAGAGCTGATGTTTGCCAAAGATTGCACAAGAAATTTACAGCTTTGTAATTTACAATTTTGTAATTTACCATTCTATTGTTAACCAAAGGGTCTGTTTGGATATCAGGAAAATAAATTCAGAAAAATGAGTTATTTTCCTGAAATCATTTTCCTTTTCTTGCGTTTGGCTTAAAGTAAAAAATTGTTCGTTTTCATTTGTCTCATTTCTGGAAGGTGAGTATTTGGAAAATGAGAATTGAGTTATCTCAGACATTTTATCAAATGCCGGCGGACGTATAACCAAAAACCCAGTCTCTAATTCTAGTTGTTGATCGAATTCCAGAAGCAATTTCTATATCAACAAAAGGCATTGAAGCCATTCTCGAACACAAAGCAAAATTCAGAAAATCATCACTCAAAAACAATAGCCAATAACTTTTCTAAAAAAAAAAGCCGAAAGCCAAAACAAGGACAAAGTTAACATAGACATATATAAAAATTGTGAACAGTACAATTTTTTGGCAATCTAGAATTGCTGGAATGTGGAACCATCAAAATCTGCGTTTGGAGTTGTGACCGAATCGGTCTAGGGAATGAGCATATAGAGATTGTCAGGCAAGAGAGGTAAGTTCGAAGAAGGCTCGGAAAGGAACTGAAAACGACTTCCGAAAAAAAAACGGAAGACAAATTCCAAAAAACAACCTCATTTTCCAGTTGACCCATGCTCATTTTCCATTGACTCTCATTTTCCATTATTTCCCAACAATGAAAACTGGGGAAAATGACTTCCAGATGTTATTTTCTGTTTTTGCAAACAGATCCTAAATGCTTGTGAGTTTTGGTCCTGGGCAGAGCATGGTTTTTTTTTTGAAAAGCCAACGCCAAGTACGATGTAATTAATTACGATTGAAGTTCAATCAAAACCAAAAACCACCAATCAAAACCAAAACCAACCTTTTTGTGCCGTTTAAGAAACCAAACAAATCCAGCATAAACATGCCAAAACCGACCCAAAATAACCAAACTGAAAACGAAATGAAACCACATCAGTTAGACAGTTCAGCTTTCAGTTTGCATTTTTTCAAAACCAAAATCGAATGGAAACCCATCTGACAATACCAAACCAATGAACCCCCGTAGTTTAGGCTCCGCGGCTTTAAATGGTTGGTGTGTATGCAATATTACGTTGGATAAATAAATTACTACCATTTCTATAAATACAAAAAAAATTGAGAGTACTCTTAAAGTAAACATGTTAAGATCTGTTGTGCTCATTTTTCATAATTCTTTGTGACTACCAACTGATTGATGCAGCCACATAGGGTGGTGTTTCATAGGGAAAAAAAAATATGGCCGAGCCGCTGAGAAGCCAAACATAGAGGCTCTGCCAAACTGGGACTTACCTCGAAGTGGTTCCAATTTGGCTGTGAGGTTAGAAATGGAACCTGAGAAGGAAATGTCATGGAAGATGAAACCACATAGAAAATTACACAAAATGAGCATTACAATGGGAATGGGAATGAATGGACAACGAAACATATTTAAACAAGGGGGGAACAAAAGCACATTCATTCATTCATATATATATGATGATATGATATGATGATCAAACAACACCAAACCCAACCAAGCACATCTTACCGTCTCTTTTTTTTTCTCCTTTTATTATTAAATCATTAAACCCACCCAGCCCCGTCCTTCACTACTACAGTGAAGGAGAGGAAACAAATTGCCGGGGCAAACTAAAAAGATCTTTCTCCTCGAAAGGAGAAGTCCATTCACGAGATCCGCCGCCACCAGCAGATGTCTCCACAGCCGAACCCATCATTCCCTCCTGCAACCTGGTGGGAATCGAAATGCCATCGGACAAGATGGGTCCCATAGCAGCCCGGGACGTAAATGTGTGGTTGCGGTAGTTGTTTGGCATGGGTTGGTTCATTTTGGGCCAAAGGCCTCCCGGTACTGATGACGATGAATTTGAATCTAGGCTCCAGTCTATGGTGTTGTAATCCAGATGCGGCATCGAAAACCCACTGTTCCAGTCCACATGAGGTGACGGGCCCAATGGGCCATGGTTGCCTAACCCAGAAAAAAGCCCGAGTGAGGAAGCCGCAGCAACTCCCTGATGCTGAGATGTACTACCTGTTCTACACCACACAGTGTTTACCCTGCTACTGCTAGTTCCCGGAGGTTCATGTTGGCCCCCATTACTCAATGCATTCTGCTGCTGGTGTAGTTGAAACTGGTGTGGTAGAAACGGATGCTGATTGTGTAATATTTGGTTGGCAATGAAACTGTCTGTGCTAACGTTCCTCAAGCCCGATGCATGTGTCACCATCCTATCTGGCTTCATAGGTTCAGCACCATGAAGGTACCACCCCCCTCTAGCTGCAGTTCCACCAGGAGGTGATGAACTCATGAAGGTTGATGGTGGGACCACCTGCTTTGCATTCATGGACTGTTGTGGCCGTTGCATGACTATAACGGGTTCTTTAATGCTTCCTAGCTGTAGGTTCTTCAGTTCATTCCCAACAGCTATGTACCGAGCTTCAGTAGTCATAACTGGAGAAGGCGAGACTTGTGAAGGAAATGAATTATTAAAAGCAGATGGATTTGGAATTGCTGCACCCGACCAGCGCTTATCTGCTGAGGTCATAGTTGCTTGTGGTGGCTTAGCCCAGTCCGTTTTCAGTTGGACTCCCTTTAATGACTGTTGTATGTTTTTGCTCACAGGATCCATAGAAGAGTTTGGTATTTTCTCATCCCTCTTCATTTGTACAGAAGTGGACGGGATGAGTTTCGCAGAAAGACTTACTGAATTATGATGACTTGTGGATGTAGGGAGTTTACAATTGCCCACAGTCTCTTCTGGCTTTGATTGCACATTAGTAGTAGTTTCCTGCTTCTGTGCCCTCAGAGATTCTTCAGCCTTCTCGAGATCACCTTCACAGGCAACCACGGCTCTTTCAACCTCCTGCTTAGAGCACTTATACCTACTCTCAATCTCTGAAATTCGAGAAAGCTCTTCCGATATATCAATTTTCAAATTACCCCCTCCATCAATGTTGTGTTCCTTGTGCTTAGTATTGTCTGCTTCTTGACCTTCTTCAAATAGCCATGCCACAGATTGTTCTACCCTTCCTTCATTCAGGATTAGAGCCATTGTTGCTCGTTCTGAAGAGAACCCCATTGACACAAGCTGTTGAGCAAGCGCTTCCAGCTTTCTTGACATGAGATACCCACTGCACTTCTCATGTAGTTCTTGGGCTCGCCTCTCCTTTTGGCGTTGATGCTTTCTCTCATTCTTTTGGCGGATTTTTTCCCGCTTGTCATTGTCAGCCCCGGGTACTGTCTCTTGTTTGGGAGGAAGGGGGTGAGATATTTTTTCCTTGGGGTCTTCTGACTCCCCAGACCAACTACCATTGTTCGAAACAGTATCATACTCCCCACCAGTGCCTAGTGAGTTGCTACTTTGATCATCTGTCTCATCTATGTTTTTGAAGCGGCCATTGGCATGAAGTGAAGAGGCAGAAGAGCCAGGTGCTGAGTCCAGTGCATGGAAGGTTCCAAGAATTGGATTGTATCCACTGGCCGGGATCCCACCACTATTATTGGCATGGCTCAAAGATTTTGATGGAGTCTTTGAAGGTTCCTTCCCGGACTTTTTGTCCTTGGACTTGGATCTAGATACGGGAGACATCTCGCAGTTTCTGATTCCAAAACCTATGGATCAGGAATGCAAATAAGCTTAGCCAAAGAATGCATAAAAATACCTCAAGTCAAATAGCTTATTTTAAAAATGAAACAAAAACAATCTTTAATCGATAAGCTTAGTCTAATAATGCAATAAAGCAAAAAAAATAGATCTGGTACATCACTACATCCGGATCCAACTAGAAATATCAAGATGTATTGTCTCACTAAAAGTCAATAAGTTAAGTCTAAGAATTCAATACAACAACCCATGGATCTGGTACATCCAGGTCCAACTTGAAACATCAGTTGATGTTATTGACGGCCCCATACCACGTATCAATTTAAATCTAGTGTGCAAAACAAATTGGTGTTATTGACTACTTCTATGCCACTTGCATTTCCTGAAAGTTTTATGCATAGGAACCTAACAGTGATGATGAATGAAAGAACTAGGAACAACATGGAAGCATTAACAGCTAACAACACACATTTAAACTCGTTAAAAAAAATCGGAGCAAGAAGAAAAGTAGCCTAAAGTTTGAATGCCTCAAGAACACTCTGCCAAAATCCTCCAAATGGAGCCGATCAATGTCCAATCCGTCACAAGAAGACTGTCATTGGAAACATTGAATATGCTTGACACATAGATTGCGAAATGATAAATAATCTTAAAAATTAGGAACCTAAAAAACTAAATATAACTTAACGTTATGCAACCCCAAGTATATGATCTTAGAGTAGGCTTGTGAATGAATACATCTATTCATCCATACAACTAATCCCCCGAGCAGCTGGACATATTACAATCCAGGCCATGGATACGTAGACGTAACGGTTATCACTATTTATCAGAAAAAAGGCAGATCGCGAAACACCAATCTCGCCACCAGGAATCCTCGATTCCCAATAGAAACCCCGATTCCAACGCCAATCTCAAAAACACGCGCATTTCTATGCAAACGCAAACAAAGATTGGAAATTTTTCTACCGACAGCATGCAGATACAGAAACACAAACGGGGCGGCGATGGAACGGCGGGCGCGTACCTTCAACGAGAGGGGGAAAGGGGGCGGATCGGCGGACAGAAAACGACGGTGCGGTGGAGAAATGTAACGGCTGCGGGAGAGATGGAGAGAGAGGATTGGATGGGGAAATAGATTGAATTGGATGGATTGCGAAAAAAGAAAAGAGCGAGAAGCTGGAATGAAACTGAATCGACGAAATTAGGGTTCAATGTCCGTTCAGATGTGTGGGAGAAAATTTCAATTTCGATTTGTCTGTGCGTCCCGATTGATTGACAACAAAAAGAAAAAGACCAGCCTAGCCATGTTTGGGAGTGGACGCCGTTTTAGATTAGGGCCTGTTTGGTTGG